GGAAGGAAGGAAGGAAGGAAGGAAGGAAGGAAGGAAGGAAGGAAGGAAGGAAGGAAGGAGAAAGAAAGAGAGAGAGAGAAAAGAAAGAAAAAGACCAACAAAAGATGAATTTTCTAAGTGGCTTTACTGTATTGCTCAGTGCTTCTAAGTCATCACCTTCAACATTCTTCTAGTTGCTAAAAAAAATGTCACTCTGCTTCTTTTAAAAAATATTTATTTATTTATTACAAACACAGTGTTCTGCCTACATGTATGCCTGCAGGCCAGAAGAGGGCACCAGATCTCATTATCTGATGGTTGTGAGCCACCATGTGGGCGCTGGGAATTGAACTCAGGACCTTTGGAAAAACAGCCAGTGCTCTTAACCTCTGAGCCATTTCTCCAGCTCTATCAACTGCTTCTTAAGGGGGGGGGGGAGGGGGAACCTAAGCAAGAGTCTCAGTGACAGTATACTTCCCTGTTGTTAAAAAGCTTCCTCCTGGGTTTGATCCCCAGCTCATCCACTCCCCCAAGATAAAACTCACTGTGTGTGGTGATACATGCTTTTAGTCACAGCACTCAAGAGACAGAGGCAGGTGCATCTTTGTGAGTTTAAGGCTAGCCTGGTCTACACAGCAGGTTCCAGGCCTTTCAGAGTTACATACCGAGAAACTGTATCAAAAATAATAAAATAAAAAGGTAAACGTCAAATATAAAGTTTGGGACAAACTGCTCTCAAAATTTGTGATCCTGGCCTTTTATGTCAACCTTTATGGTCTCCACAATGACCACAGATCCAAACTTTGGAAGTCACCCTTCCTCACTCACAACTCCAGCACAGTATTCCAAGTCCTGTTTGTTGCAATACAGGTTACCTCGGAGGCAGACACACTCAAAACAAATGCCTACCACTTTCTGCTGACTGAAAGGAAACATTCTTGTCTAGGATAACTCACCATACTTAATATGGTCTCTAGAAGGGATAAACATGCTCTCTGAGACAACTGAACTAATTGCCAGAGTGCGTCAATTTTCTTCTCAAGATACTAGGTAGATAGGGAAAGAAACTAGTTCTGAGGACTCTGTTACCTAAGACAAAAGCCATGTTTACTTTGATCTTTCTGGGAGACGAGAAAGAACTTCTGCCATTTAAAATAAGTATGGAAAAGCCCCAGGAGCCTGAAGCAGCTTCTGATTAAATAAGTCAGGATGCACGGCAATGCTGATGACTGAACCTGGGGTCTTGGGAAAACCATGCAAGCAATTTACACTGAGACACATCACCAATCCAACATTTCAGCCTTCTATTTTACTTAAGACAGTTTTATTCTAGAACCCAGCATGGCCTCCTGAGTGCTGGGATTATTTTTGTTAATTAATAAAATGACATTCTAAACTTGAAGGCTGGAGAGATGGCTTAGTGATTAAGAGCACAATCATGAGCTACAGAGGTCATATCCCTGCATCCACGTAACAAGCCACACAGCCTACACATACCTGTAATCCCAGCTCCACTGGGGATGGAAACAGGACAGTCAATGGAGCTTGCTGGTTTCCAGCTTAGCCAAGAAAACCAGAGTCTCGGGTTCAGGGATAGACCCTGCCTCAAATAAATAGGTAAAATACAAGAAGACACCTGACAGCCTCTTCTGACCTTCGTGTGTACACAGTCATGAGTACCTATATATATGTTGTAAACACACACACATACACATGCGCACACACATTGTAAAAACGAAGACAAGATTATGACTTTCTCAATAATTTTTGTCTGGTAAAGATGAAATAATATACTTTATTTTTTGTTAAAAAAAATTTAGGGGCTAGAGAGATGGCTCAGCGGTTAAGAGCACTGTCTGCTCTTCCAAAGGACCTGGGTTCAATTCCCAGCATCCACATAGGAGCTCACAACTGTCTGTAATGCCAATTCTAACGGATCTGACACCTTCACACTAATGCACATAAAATAAAATTAAATAAATTAAAAAAATTTTAATTATAGCAGATGGTGGTGGCATACTGCCTTTAATCCCAACGAGACCAGGCTGGCCTCGAAACTCAAAGATCCACCTGCCTTTGCCTCACAAGTGCTGGGATTAATGGTGAGTGCTACTACACCGAGCAAAAACTTGTCTTAAAACAAAAATCAAAAAGAGGGACACAGCTCAGTAATCTTGTCCAGCATGCCTGAGGCCCTTGGTTCCATCACCAGAACCACAAAAAGCTTACTGAATAATGCACATTAGTAAAGGATCAATAAATGTGACCCTCAGCTATTTGGTTTACATTATACTAACAATCACATCTCTAACTGCCTATTCCTATGAACAGATTCCCTTCAGCTTATTAAGGGGCTGCATCTCAACCCACTTGGAGCTGAAACCCTGAAAGCTGAAAATGCATTTACTATACCCAACCTACCAAACATCACAGCCTAGCCTGACTCAAGCATGCTCAAATCTTAATTGTTGTAGTTTGGCAAAACCATTTTCACAAAGCCTCCTGTGAAATGAAATGTTTGGCATTCCATGTAATTTATGAAAAATTGTAATGAATGAGAAAACCAATTATATGGGTAGAAGCTCTCATCACTGTTAAGCTGGAAAAAAGAATCTTAAACTGTGCGCACAGGGTGGCAAGAGCCTTACCTTCTTTTCAACACCTCCCTCTTCTCTATGCGGTTGAACAGCTCCTGCTCCCTCTCCTTCTCCGTCATCTGCTCCAGTCGGGCCCTGTCTTCCTCATCTCCCATAAGATCCTCTCCATAGCCATCATGGAACTCTTCATCTTCTGACGAGGAGTCTGAGTCTGAACTGGAGGAGGAGCTGTTGCTGTCAGAGTCTGACACTTCACCTGCAGCAAGGGACCAGTGTCAGAGCACACCACGCTGTGTGACCCCATGGCGACAGTTGCCTCCCCTTGGGACACACCCATTGCCACTCACTGGGGATGTCTCCTTGATCTGCCTTTAGTTAAATACAAACAGACTAGGAAAATCTAGGCAGGAAACATAAGCCAACACACTCTTTTCCTCTTTGAGACAGGGTTTCCTATGTATCGCAAGACATCTTTAAACTCACAGTCTTCCTGCCTCTGCCTGCTAAGCCCCGGGTTTACAGGCCTGTTGCCTACCATACTTTCACCTCAACTCTGTTACTGTGAAAAAAAAAAAAAAAAAAAAATCACAGGCCTATAAAAACAACCTCTAAACAAACAGTCACATTTTTGCCGGGGGGTGGTGGTGCACACCTTCGATCCCAGCGCTTGGGAGGCAGAGGCACGGAGATCATGAGATCTCTAGAGTTCCAGGACAGTCAGGGCTAAGCAGAGAAACCCTGTCTCAAAAAACCAAAACCAAAACCAAACAAAACAATAAATAAATAAAAAGAAATATAAAGGCTACTTTTTATTAGAGAGATGTGTAATGTACAGGCAATGATAACAAATGATCTAAGTAAAGAGAGTATGAAAGTCAAATTAGTCTGTCTGTCTGTTTTTGAGACAGGATTTCCCTGTGTAGTCCTGGCTGTCCTGGAACTCGCTCTATAGCCCAGAACTCAGAGATCTGCCTGTCTTGGCCTCCTGAGCACCACCACCTGCCTATATTTCTTAATTTAAAAAAATATTTATTTATTTCTATGTATATTTTGTTGTTTGGCCTACACATATATATGTAGATATCTGTGAGGTGGTTGGAGTCCCTGGAAGTTGAGTTGCAGACAGTTGTGAGCTGCCATGTGGTTGCTGGACTTGAACCTGGGTCTTTTGAAAGAGCATCCAATGCTCTTAACTGCTGAGCCATCTCTCCAGCTTATTTCTTAATTTTTAAAATTTTAATTAAATTTATTACATTTGCTTATTTTGTGTGTATGTAAGAGAGACAGAGAGAGACACACAGAGAGAGAGTACGAGAGAGCATATGTCAGAGCTTATGTGTAGGGGTGAAAGGACAAACCTTTAGAGTGAGTAATTTCCTAACATCTGGGTTCCACGGTTTGCGTTCTCTTGCTGGCAAGCATCTTGATCCACTGAGCCATCTAGCCAGCACAGTTAATGTTGTGAGGCTCACTATGTTGTCCAGGCTGGCCCCCCAAATCTGAGTTCCTGTGGCTGAACTGCCTCAGCCTCCTGAGCAGCTGGGACTACAGGGTGCACCACCAAGCATAGGTCAGCCTCTCTCTTAACACCACTACAGTTTGAAGAATTACAGTCCGCTACATTGTTTAACAGAATCCTGAGGTGGTAATGAAAATATTTACAATGTGAAGCTTATTCTGTATATGATGGTAAAGACTGTCAACTTGACTCCATCTAGAAGCACAAGATTCTGGGCGCGCCTATGAGGGGGTATCTTGACTCAGGTAACTGAAGTGGGAAAGCCGATCCTAAAATGAGCGGCATCATTCTCTGGGTTTAAACCCTGGATCAACACAACAAAGAAAGGGAGCCAAGCATCAGCACTCATCTGTCTCTGCTTCCTGACAGCAGACATACTGCAGCCAGCTCCTCAGGCTCCTGTCACCAGGCCTTTCCTGCTATCTGATGGACTATACCCCAAAACTGTGAGCTGAAATAAACCTTCTCTCCCTTAGTTTATTACAGCAACAGAAAAAGTTAATAAACCCATGTCACCGTGCAGCCCTGGCTGGCCTGGAACTTTCCATGTAGACCAGGCTGCCCCACCCCAACTCACAAGTGTTAAGACTGAAAGTACATACTACCAAACCTTGCCCACCTCTGGAGTGTGTAGTCTTCACTACCTAAAAAGCTGCAAATGGAGATGCCCTGTCTTAAACATCTCAATCTTTATGCCATGAGTGAATACGCCTGTATTCTTTTAATTTAAATTTTATTTTTATTATGCGCATGTGTCTTTGTGTGGGAATGTGCCCAGGTGTAGTACCTTCAGGGGCCCAGGCATCCAATCCTAACCTAGCTCAGGTCTTCTGTAAGTGTGTACTACTCTTAACTACTAAGCCATCTCCCCATTTCAGCCTTTTTTTTTTTTTTTAATAAATTAATAATCCTTCATTCAAATGTTACCTGCCATGGGTGGCTCACAGACAATTGAAATGTGAGTACTGAAACTGAGAAACTAAATTTTAAATACAAATTTAATTTTATTAAAGTTTAAATAGCAATAGTTATCCTCCAATTTGTTTTAGTTTGTTCTGTCAAGAATTTAGGTTATGAATTTGGCAAGTATATTCCGAAAGTGATTTATGTTCTTTGCTGTCCCAACTCCATGGTGCTACGGATCAAACTCAGCTTTGAGCATAACAGACAAGTTGACTGCCACCAAGCTACAATCCAACACCTTTTAAAAAAGTTGCCTTCATCGCTCTTCCTCCTCACCCTGGCAGTCCTGGCCGGGGGTCTAGGCTAGGCTCTGGTGCTGCTGTAGTTTTTTCTCCCCTAGGCAACTCTGCTTTGCCTTCCCTTTCAGTGTCACAGAAGTACGTAATACCTGTCTGTGGCTCTGGGCGCTGGTAACTTGGATCACCTGATTAGAAACTGCCCCCAGGTTTTCCTGTATAAAGGCTAGAATGTACTAGGTGATGCTTTTAGCCCACATAAACATCTCGTTGCCCACAAACTCAAACCCATCCATTAGATTTTGATAATTCTGCATTCTTTTTTACTTTACTCAGACTCAGAAGTTTGAGAAAGGAAGGAGGATCAACAGTCTCTGGACTGCAAAGAGAGTACAAGGCCAGTTTGACCTAAATAGTGAAAAACCAAAAACAACAATGAAACAAAAAAAAGACAACATATATTACTAATGGATTTTAAATCATCAATTATACCAGAGTTTGCTTGATTCAACTTGCATTCATAAACATGGGCTTAAAACCAGGTTAGGCCATTTTTTGGCTTAAAAAAAAAAAAAGTTTACTATTTTAGTCCTGGAATAAGTTCAGCTGTCAAACGAATACTGACAAAAAAAAAAAAAAAAAAGCGTAATTTCTGAACTGTCTTCATGGAAGAATATTTTCTATGGTATTTAGTATCTGTTTCAAAGATTTCCTTTCTCAGTCAGACAAAATTTCCAGAAAAAAGAAGAGAAGGTACTCAAGACTGAGAGGAGCCCACAGCACAGGATCTATGGCAAACTCCAGTGGCTTCGCCAACCCTTTGGCATTACAAACCCATGGCCACTGAGAAAACAAGCTCTCCAGCAGAGGCCCAGCTGTAGGACAGGTCCCTTTTTTCCCCGGTCTCACACCTCCTTCTGGGCTGGATGCTGGGCTCACCTTCCTCAGGAGCTGAGCTCTCAGCTGAACTGTCTTTGTCTGAACTGCCCGAGGAGGCAGTTTTGTTGGCTTGTTTCTTCATGGCTCCTTTCTTCTCTATTTTTCTGGCTTTTCCTTTCTTCTTATTTTTATTGCTCCCAAATGTCCACTATAAGGGGGGGAGAAAAGGAAAATTGAAATAGGACTACGCACTTTAATGATGTGATACACGCGTATAATACCAGTACTCCTGAAGTGGAAGCCAGAGGGTTCTGAGTTTGAAGCTAGGCTAGGGTTGCACAGTGAGACTGTGCTTTTAAAAACAAACACAAAACCAACAAAAAACAACTGGTCCTATTTTCTGTGGCAAAATTGCTGAGGGCTGGCATGCTGGGTTTGAGCACACAGGATGGCCGAGTACTCAGGGGGGTCTCAGGAAGGCAGAGAACTTTTTGCAGGCTAAAAATGACAAAAAGCACAGGGAGAAAGGGCCAAGGCCACTTTTTGGCACAAATAGTAGCATCAACAACTCCAAGGAAGCAGTAAAGTGAAGTTAGTTTGTTAAGTCTTATTTTAAAATCTGGACTGTAAGGCTCAAGAGACAGCTCAACGGTTAAGAGTCCATACTGCTCTTGTAGAGGACCCAATTCAGTCACACAGACAGGCACTAAGCTACATTGCTAGTAAGTGCAGAAACAGATTTGCAACAGAGAACTAACTCATAAAATACGCTGAGGCAATGTTGTCTCCTGCTTCCTGTTAACCTTTTATTTCTTTTTCTGTTGGTAGTGTACATGTGGACGTGAGTGCCCATGTGCCAGCTGGGGTCAAGGTCAAGGGCTTCTTCCCCCACTGCTCTCCACGTCAGTGTGTGAGACAGAGTCTCTTACTGAGACTGGCTGGAAGTGAGCTCCAAGGATCCGTCTGTCTTCCCTGCTCCCAGTGGAGTTACAGACGTGCTACCCAGCTTTCGTGTGGTCTGACTCTTTGTCTTCATGCCTGCATGGCGGGCACTGTACTGACAGCAGTGTCACAAAGACTGACGGCTGGAGATGACTCAGAAGCTAAGAGTTCTGGGTGCCCTTTTAGAGGACCTGGGTTCACTCTCCAGCACCCATGTGGCAGCTCAATTTCAGGAGATCCAAAGTGCTTTTCTGGTCTCCATGGCACCAGGCACTCAAGTGGTGCACAGACATACATGCAAGTAAAACATACATACACATTAAAAAAAAAAAAGTAATCTAAGATTACACTGTAATAGTGTTTCACTAGATCACAAACATGAGATCCTGGACTTCTCCACTTCAGGAACCTGCAATCTGGGTCATTTAAATAACAAGCTGCACATGTTTGTAATTCTAGCCTTCTGATATTCTAACCTGCTGCTCTAGAAAGACTTTAGTTGAAAAGTAACTGATGAGTTTTAGTCTACTTTTTAATTTTCATTCTATAAGGAATTTGCACTAAATTATGATGATCCTTTCATCACCACAGACCATTCATTTTCGTAAACTACACTTTCTTTATGTACTATTTAACAAAAACACAGTGTTTTTGATCCTACTCTAACAGGATCCTACTCTAACAGGATTTAACAAAAACACAGTGTTTTTGATCCTACTCTAACACAAATGGGTAGTTTGTGTTGTTTTGGTGGCTCTGGGGAAGAAGCCACCTTACTGGTGTCTCACAGCAGCTCTTCCTAAGATCATCACTCTTACTTCATCTTGATAAAAACATTCTTGTAGGCGCTTTATTTTCTTTTTAGAGACTAAATCTTCCTATGGAACCCAGGCTGAACTCAAACCCGCAATCCTCCTTAGCATTAATGGTGTGATATAATTACTTTAATTCCCATTTACTTTTCATTTAAAGGGGAATGAAAATAAAACAACTGTACGTTCTGGGATAAGATATTATATGAGTGAATAGTGACTTGTATAGGTGAATTTGCTTTCTAAAATGTTAATTTCAACACCTAGGTCATCATCTAGAAAGAAAATGTAATTTTCTCTTATACCTGAAGTTTCAGGCATTTCTGATTTTAAATGCTTAAGGAAAATGATTTGCAAGTCAGTTTAAAAGAATTCAAAACCGTTCACAATGTTTTTTAGCTAAAAAACACACACACCAATTTTCCATACAGACAGTATTAAAAGTATGTATACTGCTTCATTGGCTCTTGTTATAAGAAATAGGACAAAAGTATATACACTACTCTAGGTCTCAGTTATGAAAACGGCCTCAATCCACCTTTCCCAAACAGGGTCTGGACTCCTCCCCAACAAAAAAGTGAGGCAGTTCAGAGTGAGTTACTAGGGTCATGTGTGAGTCAAAGTGGCTAGGTCTATGTTTGCCTACGGGTGTGGGTTTCTAATGTGCAGCAGAGCCAAACTCTGGACTCCCGGGGGAGTGGGTGTCGACCAGAGAAAAACTACCTAAGTGTGAAGTCACACAAATGAACCCAAGTGGGAAAGAAGTGTGAAGCCAGGGCTTCCTCATGCTTCTGCTCTTCTTCTCTCTGCCTAAGCTTCCACTGTCTCCCATCTGTTGCATGTGGCACTGCTTTATGGGGAGGGACAAAAAACAACAGTAAAAACAGACAAAAATTCAATGCTGACCTAAAGGGGGCTTCTTTGCTGAGCCTAAGTGTGAAAAGGGTGTCGGCTGTCTTTCATTCAACAATTTCCTGAAGATGATGGCAAAGCTGCCCTTCTCCCCCAACGAGGCTAACTCAGGGAGCTCTATGACGCCAAATGAAAATAACCAACAGTGCAGTATGTGACCCTCTAGGAAAATGAGAATATTACACCTAAAAATAAATTTCTGGGGGCTGAAGAGATGACTCAGAGGTTAAGAGCACTGCTTGCTCTTCCAAAGGTCCTGAGTTCAGTTCCCAGCAACCACATGGTGGCTCACAACCATCTGTAATGGAATCTGATTCCTTCTTCTGGTGTGCATGAAAAAAAATCAGCTTGACAAGCTGAGTTCAATCTCAAGAACTCACATGGTGGGAGGAGAGAACCAACTCCTGAAAGTTGCCCCCTGACCTCCATGTGTATGCCATGACTCATGCATGCCCAGATGAATGCACACACAAAATTTAAAACTCTTAAAACATTGTTTTTGGCTGAAGGTGTACTCCCTGGTAGAGTACTTCACTATCAGTGAATGCCCTTTGCTTAGCTCCGATACGAGGTCGGGAGAATCACCTCTATTCCCGCTACCCAAAATAAACACTGAAAATCTGAGAATTTCAGGAAGACTCAAAGAGTTCCAATAATCAGCCAAATATTTTTTTGCTCCTGGAGGATAGATCATATTTGCAGTATTTTACATTAAAATGTATAAATAGATATTCCTAGATGTTTTCTGACCTAAGTACATATATTAAATATTTGTGTAATAACCATTCTATCAAAGTATAAATGAGGATAATCAACACTTCAGGGCAAGAGAAACAACAGAGAAATATTTCACTCCAGTCTTTCTGTTAGAGACCGCTGGAGACCGCTTACCTATCCCATCAAATCCCTTATTCTTCTGACTCTGAGACAGAGGAAATACGAAGTCTTTCATTGTCAGAGCGACAGTAAGTGGAGTGAGGGGAGGCAGGGCAGAATTGATGCTCTGATGTTTTGTCCACTGAGGATAAAGTACAGGAAATGAGCTGCATATTATGGTTTTTGGGGGGGACTAAGGCAGTAGTGAAGGGAAAGCCCTGTTGCTATCTGTCAAAAGTCCAAGCCTCTATTTTCGTATCTGTGGAATGATGAGTCCAGATGATCTCTAAGACCCTCAGCATTATGGGATTTTTATATTACGTGGATGTTTGTCAGGAGGGCTCTGTATTCATTATCCTAGAAACTAAAAAGCCACAAAAGCAGTATCTGAGAAGGGATGGTTTCTGAACTTTGTGTTTTGTTTACTTTTATCCTGAAGATTAAAAGAGTCACAGAAACTGAAGAGTAAATGCAACCTTATGTCAGTACAAAGGCCCCTGAACTCTGAGCACAGAGGCCAGAGCATCCCCAGTAAGAGCTACCCACAAACTACCAAGGAAAGGAGGAGAACTGGCTGTCAGTCAGGACTCTCATATGTATTGACACCCTGTTGCTTTCCTAAGCACACTGTGTGTACGCCCCACACAACACCAGACAAGCAATTATATAGACACACAGCAAAGACAGACCAAAATACAAGCCAGAGGGAAGATGTTTCTTACTTAATAAGACAGACTACAGCCCGACTCTCACTAAGGTAACAGCTTAATGGCAGCAGTCAAGTAACAAATCAGAAGGTGTGTACCATACTATCCCACATCATCCTAAGGGCGTGTGGATGTTACAAGCAGCCTAGGACCAGTTTCCTTCCAAACACTAAGATGGAAGATGGGCTGGAACACAGGATGGAAGTGGTTTCAGACTTGAGAAGCCCTGACTTACTAAGAACTAAGAACTGTGAATATTTTGGAGGCAGGAGAATAAAGAAACTTGAAGATTTCAGACAGCATCCCTAAGATGCCTAGGTCTTGGAATCCAGAGCAGAAGCCACTCTAGCTCTTTGAGCTATAGCACTATTGTTGTTGTTTTTGCCCCCTTGAGCTAGGGTCTCATGTAACCCAGTCTGGCCTCAAATTCACTACAGAGCCAAGAATAAACTTGACCTTCTGACCCTCCTGCCTCATCCTCCAGCACAGAGAATATAGGCATAAATCTCCACGCTGGTTCCGAATTAAATTTATATGTGAAATAAAAACATTTCAAGTAAATAGTGTTCAGGAATAATAGCTAACAAATGGTTCTAGAATTGGGTCAAAAGAACCGGAAAAGAGCCACGCCTTTTAACCTGAGACTGTCTTCTTCTCTGTAAATACAAGTAACACACTGACTTGACGGCTTACTCTGGGTAACAGGAGACTAAAAGGAGACAGGATACGGAAGGTTTCACTCTCGTTGTAAGCCATGTTCTAGCTGTGCAGAGCTCAGTGGGTAGAGTGCTTACTTGACACACAGGAAGCCCTGGTTTTGATCTTCAGCAGATCATAACTGGAGACATGGCTCATTAGTTAATTGTACACACTGGTCGTGCAGAGGCCCTGATTCCAGCACTCACATCAGGTTCACAGCTGTCTGTAAGTCAGTTCCAGATCTGACATCTCTGGATTTC